ATACACACTATCTGAGAAAAACAAGTTTATTTTTTCTTCTGAAAGGGAGAGAGTGAGTAATCAGCAGGCTATAAACTGAACAGCATCCTCTTATTCCTTGAAAAAACACAAAACAGAAGATGAGCACGCTTTACCTCTCATACTATGTAAAACCAACATCACTATGGCTTTCATTAAACATTATGGGACACAACAAGTAGTTGTGCAAATGAATAACTACGACACTTATCTAATCGTCATCTCCCACACTGAAACCTTTTGCAGTACTATGTCAAAGACAATAATTCTAAATGGTTTAAGAAAAATAACATTTACGTAGCGGATTATAGTCTTATTGTGCTTATTATTGGGCATATTGTACAATATGCTGCTTCAGACCTACAGAACAGAGTAATATATCCTCTGGGAATGGTCTGCAAATTACTTTAGTCTGCCCAGACTTTTAAGATTGGCATGTTGACTCCACTATGGCTTATAATATTAGAATTTATAATAGGCAGTCTCCTTTTCACATACGACTGGAAGTCACTGCACAATAAATCTGTCTCAAACTGGCCCCTGCTGTCAGAATATATAGGAAGAGCAGATGACGGCTAACATAAGCACACTAAATGAACAAGACAAGAAACTTCACTTCCGGATATGAGGTAAGAAAAGGCAACTTTCCTGTCTTGGCATAGAAAGCTCTACTTAATGCCTGTAATATTGGGAAATGGACGAGGCTGTCAGCCTTAAAAACGCTTTTATGCCAATAGAGAGCAGGTTTTAGTGGACTAGAAAAAACGTTCACAAAGACCAGCTCAGGAACATTCATAACATGGTTAAAGAAATATGTAATGGCAATAATAACAATAATGTTATTATTTTGACAGAGACAATATTCAAATTGTGTCGACAGTACAGCCATTAAGAAAACCACTTTGTTTTATACACTCCTGAGAGTTACAGTGTTGAGCTTCTCTATAGAAGTTCTGTATTTTGTGCTTAATACTTCTTAGCTTCTTCTGTTGTTCTGGAATACAAATCTATTGTAAACAAGAACATTTAGAACATGTATTTAAAAAAATACCATATATAACCATATACAGTATATACCATACATCAAACTATGCAGACATGTTCTCAAAGCTGATACACAGACTTTTTCAAGAAATATGGTAACCTTGAATTTAATAATTACTTTTTTATCATCCAAACAATCTAGATAGGTCTCCTCTTATTAGCAACCTTCTAGCAACCTTCTAGCAACCAATGTTCTCATGTATATTTGTTCTAATTCTTAGAACTGATTAACGTTAACACCTAACTCTATTTAAGGGTGTATTCTGCTGTTTAGGTCAAACAAACATTTAATACAATATTGCTTATCTTAAACAATAACTGGAGCTTCCAGTTCAATGAAGATTAAATGAAAAAAAACAAAGAGTAAAGACATGGGTATACTGCATGGATGAGCTTCAGTTCAGGAGAAAGGACTATGCAGTTGTTAAATGTCTTGACAACTTTTTTAGTTAGGAAGCTACTAAAAAGATGAAGGAATCACCACTGTGATTCCTCTGTGGTTGGTTTACTTCTGTATACATGGATAATTTATAGCCTATGTATTTAGTGCTTTCAAACAAATAAGTATACTATCCATATTTATAAATAGGGCAAAAAGGCCTCTATGATCCCTTCTTGTCTCAGCTCTGCAAACAGTATCCTAATCCTGTTTTAAGGCTCTCACAGAAGGGCGCAAATTCAGCAAGACTGAGGTTTCTCCTTGAAAAACTTTGGCATTCCAATAGGAAATGCTGATGGCTTATTTGGTTAGTGCAACTGTGTCAGTGTGATGATGTGATCTGGACTAACGTCTGACATCACCAAAGCTTATTTCAGCCGTGACCTAGGTATCTCAACTGAGGTTTAATCTGTAACACATTTGGCTTTAAAAAGGCACAGTGTGGGGTCTTCAACACATTGCCAATTTGAGAGCTGCCTCTGCTAAACTGCTGATCCTAACTTGAGGCATCATCTACTGAGATTACTTCATGGATCTCTTAGGGATTTAATTTGACAAAAGTCCGCAGCTTAATAACACTGATGTGGTTTGTTAAAGATAAAAAGGCACAATGAAAATAATACACCTGCTGTCCACAACTTCTATAGCTATTCTGTTCAGGGCACAGTTAAGGGTTTTATCAGTAAACGTAACCTTTTCTACACAGCAAAGAGAAACATTTAAGTAATTTGTATTTCACGATTTCGTATGGGATCTTAGTAACAACACGCATACAAGGTCAGGCAATACAATGAAACTTTCAGACAGCCCACCAGCAGTCTTGTTAGCTGAAAATATAAAACTGATGAATAATGTGATAAAATGCCCCTAGGTACTTTGCAGAAAGAAAGGCATTCCTTATTTGCAGGTGACAAAAATGAACTTCATGACTTTAGGAAAATACAACAAAACAGCATGAGAGTGCAGATTTGTACAAGTAAAGCCTAGACTTCTCAAAATACTATTCCAATTAAAAAGTCCAACTATGCAAACTGAGGTTAAAGGTTATCAATAAAGGCTCATTATCTGTGACAACTGTATTCTCTGCTTAAACTAGGGATTCAAGTCTGTTCTGTGTGAAGCTTTATGAGAAATTCAAAAGGAGATTCACAAACTGTTCTTTCAAATAGCTGTTTTTAAGTATTTCATGTTTCAAAATAAATTATCTAATAAGCTTCTGCGCAAAATAAAATTAAAACATCACATTTATCAGTTTGTATTAGCACTGATTAACTCAAGAATCATCTAATCATATTTTAAAAACAATCTTTGTTAATTCTGGGAATATAGAAAATAGAACAACAATTGTACAATAACACAACAATTTAAACTGTTTGAAATAATAAACCCAGATGAAACAGATGGAAAAGAAAAAGAAACACTTGACAAACAAGATACAATTGAAGCTTTCATCTTTTGTAGCTTGTGGGTCCATGAAAAAATACAGGAGAATTACACATAATTCTGGGCTTGTTAAAGAGAAAAGCACTCAGAATTAAGCAACACAGAACACAATATTCCTTGGCCCTTTGTCTTAGTATGGCCATTAAACACTGAAGAGTTCCATTCTACATATGTAAGAGGTCAAAACAATGAACTGGAAAACACACTTTAACTTCCTTTACTTGTGAACTGGTAAAGAGTTGCCCTGTGCCATTAGGTGAAAGGTTAAACAAGCAAGGTCTGAATGGCTGAACTGCTGCTCTAACTCAGATAAGTCTGCTCTTGAGCAAAGTTTTAAAAGGTCAATCCTGGGTCAGGGCCACTGCCAAAGTATTGAGTTAAAGAACATGCAGTATATTAGCTGTTGAAGACTACCGCCTCATTTACTCTACAGTATCTCATCCATCAAAATGCAGATATTCCATTGCTATTCTTCAGCAGCACCCTTATGACAAACAAAACAAAAAAAGAGAAATATTGACTTCCCTGTTTTTTTACACTGTATTCCAAAATTACCTCTGATAATTGACAAAAAATGTCTGTGCCTTCAACTGTATTCACTTCCTTTTATAACACTCTCATGGCAACAAAATCAAAGAATGTTTTCTTTCTTATATCTTTCCAGGTTTTTAAGCATATGTTATAAAAATAATAAGGTAAAGTTTCCTTCATAACATGAATACTACCACAATGTTGTGTCTAGCCTATGAAGTGATATGTCTATTAAGAATTAAACATGTTCATTCCTGTACTTAATTAACAATATTCAAAATACATCTGATGGAGTGAATGCTTCGTGAGGAATTGTCCTTCAGGCAAACTTCCACCTCAAATTATATGTTGTTGTTTTCATTTTCTTGTGTTATTTCTTTTCCATTTGTTTTTGTTCTGTTTCCTGTATCTGATGTATTACTGTAAAAATGCACTCATGCTTGTTTTTGTTTAATGCAAGTTAATCAGCTCAGCAAAGTTTATCATGTGTTTTTTTTTACTTCCCAATTGCTGCATTTTTAAGCCAGGTTGAGAAGGACCTTTTGATTATTTTTGTTTATTGGTGATATCAGCATCACAGTCTCAAAGGTACTGTACAGTATATATAGATGTGGAGGTGGCTCACATGGTAGAATCTTGAAGTAGTTACAAAAGGGCATGGCGTTCAATAACAGAATTATATGCTAAATAGGAGTAACCAAACCTTTCTGTCCAAAGTAACAAAGAAGTCCAGTATGTGGATCAATCCTTTACTACTGTGAAGTAGTTTCAGGGCATATATTTTCCTCAGTATGACATGACTATGGAAAGAAGGCTGATGTAAGGAACCTCATAAGAGGCATGATCATTGATACATTATATCCGCCTCAGGTCCTGTGATGAAGGCAATAGCAGACCTGGCTAAGTTGTCAATCCAGAAAAAACCTGAGAGTGGAAAATAAAGCACCAACACAAAGTGTAATTTAAATAGTAAAAGGCTACTGAAATGCTATAAACTTTTCATACAGAGTTGCGTCCTTTGTTGTTGGCTGAGTAATTCCAAATCTCCACACATCTGTGAACATCTAGAGCAACTAATAATGTAACATCTTACACCTATAATCACTGTTGGAGGTAGACCATTAAAAAGACTCGTCTAATTTATTTACTAATTTATTACGGAATACATAGGGAACTAGACATACACATATATACATAAACACCTTAAAACTTAAAGGTGTATCCGTACTGGATTCAAGTTATTCGGCCAGATACTCTAAAGCCAAAAGATGTCCAATATTTATGCAAATCCGGTTCTGTGAAATCAGGCGATTCTGCATCAGTGAAAAAGTATGCAGAGTCATTTACAGGAATGCAATGTTAATTCGACAAGCAATAACAATTAGGAATGCAACCCACAGATTATTAAGAACACCCTGCACACATTCAGCTGGATAACGTTCAAAGCTTTACAAAATAAACAGTTTAAACATGTATATTGTTAAGAAACAGTGTTCGGTAAAAAAGGGAAAAGAAGCCGCGTTACCAAATTAATGAGCTGGGTGTGTACAATGTCTTCTACCAAGGCTGCTGTCTCATGAAGAGGCCGGCGGGCATCCCCGAGTGCAAACCTGAAACAGAGAATGTGTTTAACATCATGTGCTCCAAACAGTGCAGACTGATCAAGAGACAAATAACTAGTTGTGGGTAGAAAGTTTTGAACCAATAAAGATTTTTGCCTTGCCTAGAGTTGTTAGTAAAACGTTTACATGTGTACACTCTCGTGAAAAGGTTAGACAAACCAAGTAACAAAGCTCTTTGTAAGTAGTTTGTGTTTTTGATGTACTGTATATTTATATTGTCAAATTGAAGGTCTCTTCCTGCATGTGAAGACATCACCCAGATAGAGCTTTCTTCTAAGTGCTTTCATGGTCATCTTTCATACCTATTGAGCCAGCTCATGGTGACAATGAACTGCCTAAGATTAAGGCAACCTTTTTTTTGCACCCCATTGATACCCCAGATTGAAGGCCACCTAGTGTACCCAAAATTGTGATCTAATTGGCTGAAATTTAATCAAAACGCCTTTCAGGAGATAAAACACCATGTACAAAGAGACATATGAAATGGAAATAAATGATGTGATGGGAAGAAGCGATAATACCTGAGCAGAACTAAAAACAAATTTAGGTGGATATCTCATTCCTTGTAATTTTTTCACACTGTACTTCATGAAGTTCTACACTTATTTAAAATCATACTCTTTCATTTACTTGCTTTGACGGGGCTCACATTTAACTGTGGCTTACTCACCACTTTGCCTTATGACATTTTGAATGAAGTCCTGTCTGTCCCCGTTTGACTCTATGCTGAATAAATGACATATGAAAGGTTAATATCTTGACTACAGGTTCTGTTTCACTGATTCAACTCCAGACCTCGGGGGCTACCTGCGTGGAGTTTGTATGTTGTCCACATGTTCGCTTGAGTTTCCTCAGGATGTTCTGATTTCCTCTAGTCCAAAGACACACTAGTAGGTTAAATGGTTTCTGTGTGTGTGTGTCCCACTTTTTCACACCCGAACAAAAGGCTCCACAGCCGAAACTTTGTTTCTTTTCTTCGCTTTTCAGCATGGAATAAACCTTTACGCATTCCTTTGTAACTTTATCACAAATGTTATTTTTGATATCCCTCTACCCGTTCACTGGGCAGCATACTGTAGTGGTTAGTCTCCGGACTCAGTGCTCTGGTACTTTGAGCAAGGTACCCTAATTTACGCTACTGCATGTGTAACTGTCTATCCATTTGTATGCAATTAGCTGAGATAAACTGGCATCCTATCTGGGGGGCAGTTATGTGCTGTCTGTTCTCTTTAACACCATGGAAACAAGGATAAGCTTTGGCACCATCAACCTTCATAGCTTAAATATGGAAATGAATGATGTACACAATCACTAGTCCAGGTGTCCATACTCTCCATGTTGGACTATGACAATATGCCTTTTAGAATGGTCTCTTCTGATAAGATTGATCACTTCTGTCTCCTATTATACTATTCAGTGTGACCTTTATTCTTTGATTTATTATTTTTCTATGCATACAGTACTAGACCAGGGGTTCCTAATTCTGGTCTCTAAGGTCCAGAATCCTGCAAGTTTCCTGTTTCAGCTGAATGTTGAGAAGGGATCAATTTTTAAAGATTTAACCAGATAAACTGTTCTCCCACATGAAGTGCTGTTTATTTAGTGCTCTTCCAAGAGAAACTTCCTTCTTTGGCCTCTGGTCACTAGGTGAAGCGAATCTCCGGAGGAAGCTAAAACTATCCACCTTTGTGTCCTGAAGTGTTTACAGTTGTGTGATTAAATCTGCACTTTCACTTTTTTATTCTTTTGCTTCTTATTCTGTGTAATTTTGGTGCAAAATGTATCAATATCCTGACTTTTCTTTTTCCTGGTTAAAGAAAGGATTTTTATGACTAAAACTTTTTAAATTATTATACATTATCTCTCAAAGGGACCATACACATTACATACAGCCGCACCATCATTTTGTAATGTCATAAATAGGCACAATTAATCTGATCACGTTTACTATGAATGAAGGCAGCAAGTTTAGTAATGTAAATGTAAAATTTATTGTGGCTCAATCTCAAGACAAATGTGCTAAAATAAGCAATGGAGTATTTGTGAACAATCACTGCTACCATGTACTGTATACTGAAAGTAACACTATGAGAGACACTTTAGAGGCAGCTCCATAACTTAATTCTGGACAATGTACCTGTGAAATTGTGAATGGTATTGAACAATGTATGTTTAGTACAATATATGGGGGCAACTGGCAGAACACTTATATCAATAATTTCACAAAGAAAACAGTTTTTTTATATCCTGAAAGCTATTTATTCAGTTGTAACTCAAGCAGTTTTCAACCACCACAATAGGGAAGTGAAAATACATTTCAAAACAAATTCAATTTGATAATGTAGTGCATTACAAATATGCTATAATGTAAAGTAACTTAAAATTTGTGGCCATTTGTACAGTTGAGTGTTTTATTGGAACAGCCTGATTGAAGTACCTTGCTCAAGGGTACAACCAGCTATGCCCTATCTGGGATTGATCTGAACCCAGTTCTGATCCCTAACTTCTATTCCACACTGCTGCATACTCTATTTTTCTTTTTCCTAATTTTGGTATTTTCCTCATAAAAGTTTCTGTGTATTTCATAACAATTTTTGGCACTCTTTAGAAAGGATTTAGTCTGAAGACATGTGTCAGCAAGAAATGGAGAGCAGTGTGAAATATATATTTGCATTTTTAAAAGCTCCATAACAAATGTAAAGTGCCTTTTGTGCTGCCTTTTTATATAGACAGTTTTTACACCAAAAAGCAATGAAATGTAACTATCATTAATCAGAGTGTCCTGAAAATAATCCTTCAGGAGTTCCACAGAACCTGATAAGTCTTTGAAAGATTTGTTTATATGTAAGACAGGATCACAAAATTTAATCTGAGCCCTTTGCATTTAGGTCAACCACATTTGTTAGGGAATGACTGACATTTTAGAAGTGTAATTTATTGACACCAATATGATACAAAAATGTTGTTTTATTCCCAAGCTAATCTGAAAATGATAAACATATTATCTCTTTGCCTGTTTCGCACCAAAACGGAAGCAACCAGTCAAAGGGCAAATTGCATGTTCAGTTTTTTTAATTAAAATCTGCAATTTCAGTAACTATGAAATAATAAATAATGAGAGAATGTATCAGAGAATGTATCCTCTGATAATCACAAATTCACAGACATACCCTCAGTGCACACAAGAGGTATTCGTATTATATTCTCAAAATGGATAACTGTAACTATGCTACTGTTCAAGCATGTGGTACATCAAAGACTTAATTTTAAAACAAGTCAATAAAAGCATAAAAGAGAGTTTTAAATGAGTGAAAAAACAAAGCTATAGAAGTCAAAAAGATTTTCGAGGCTGTTAAAAAAAATTAGATCGAGTCATGAAAGGGTGGTCATTTTATTGCAGCATTTATCAGCCATTCATAAACAAAAAATGTTTTACATATGCTTTTACACAACAACAGTGAAACCTGACAGGATGTGGAGCAGCCACAACTCAGCCCATATTCATCAAAGTCGCTTTCCAGCCTTTTTATTTTTTCTCTCATTTTATCACATAAAAGGGGTGTCTTTCTTTGTTCTTCTTGTTGGGTAAAGAATTGTAGGTAACATTCATTAACTTCTGAGGAAAGATACTGATAAAAAAGCATCATAAGCACCTGCAGGTACTCAGCAATGCTATGAGTATCATCATGTGAATTAAAATGCATATGCATACAGTAGGCTAGCTACATATATTGCCTACACTGCATGCAAACACCAGGTAAGATGCTTCAAAATGACTTTAGAATTCAGGCTCCATAAATGTTTTTAGACATTCAAACTAGGATGTCCTATGAACAAATAGACTGAACAAAAAGGAAGTGGTTATGAATGATAAAAATAGGAAAGACCTTCCTTAAGAGGTTTATGGAAAGAAACATGGCATACTGTAGGCCACATTTACCAAGGAATTTATAACAAAAATATATTTTTTTATGCTCTATAAAGTTTAATTCTACATACTCTGTTAGAAATATCATAATTTTCTTAACACATTTGTTAAACTACAATTCTAATTTGTTATTAGCAGCAGTCGCATTGTTAGTGATGGTAATAGTAATCATCTCACTGTGTGGTTAAACTGTATTACAGTATATATTAATAACCTATTAAACGTATTGAAATTTCAAAAAATGTTCTGTAAACTGGAGTGTACATGTGATTAAGTTACATCTCGAAGTAAAAATACAGTGAAAGGCACAGTGAATTACACAATGCGCTTGAACAGCAAACAAGCAGCAAAGCAAAGAATTAAAAAACAGCTGCTTGTGACCAAATCATTACCATCACAGACATTTTAACATTAAATAGTTATGTGGGAGTTACGTTCCACATTTTTTCTACCAAACAGTGGAGTGAGCTCACATAGTACTGGAAGTGAAAAATTAAGAACGCTTATAATTCCTAATCATTAATGAAGTGTCAGCTGAAAAGTTGGACATGAAAAAGCAGAAGCTGAAAAACTGACAAATATGGACTGCAACAGTAAAACTAGATCTACACTGTTACGTTATTGAGAATTCCTTGCCTTTAAATTTCATATTCCTGTAATGTTTATTTTTTGAGTACATGGAATGGGTCTGTGAATGAGTGTGTAAATTAACAAATAAATGCCAAATACTGTCTTTCCAAGAAGCTGACGTCAGTATTTACGAATTCATGTCATCAAATAAATTTATGTATAGCCCCTAGGAGCTGTTAAGTAATGAGGAATCATATCATATATGTCTAAAGCTGTATAACTTGCTTAAATTTCCCATTAGACTGCAATGCAATGCAGTATCAGACATTTTATTTAAATCTTAAAAACTACCAGAAAAATAGAATTTCTAGGCCTAGCAGAGGATTCCCTCATCTGTTGTTACAGTAATCAGATATTACACATCTCTTCTGCTGTAAATGTGTCTTATCACTTACCAATTTACAGTCACAGAATGTTGCTTACAGTTCCT